TGCAAACAGAGGGGAGTGTTGGGGGCTTTTACAGACTACGTGAACACAGACAGCCCTTAGCACTTTAGTAAGAACTGGTCTGCAGGGGGCCATGGGAGGAGAGGCGTGCGTCCAAGGCCCCAGCCAGCTCGTCAGCACAGCCGGACCAGGTGTGCCTGGCCCCCAGATGGGCTGTTTTCTTCCCTGCAGTTGGTCCTCAAAGTCTTTCCATATTTGGAAATAACCCACTGCTGGGGTCCATGCGTTGGCCGTGTTGCAGGAAAAAGGCGCATTTAGCCCATTCTCAAGCAGCACAGACATGCTGCAGCAGGCCTCAGCCCTCGAGGCAATGGGTCAGCGTTGTGCAGTTAGACCCATGCAACCTCCTCTCTATCACGACACGTTTCCAGAACGTTCTCTGCCTAGCTGGCCCCTGACGTTCCTGGTCCTCCTGGCCCGGCTGTCTTCAGGGAATCCTTCCAACTCAGCTTCCAACTCTTCTCCTCCAAGAAGCCTTTCTGTCCCCCTCCCCAGTGGAGATCAGACCCCCTCACTGGAGGTCCTCACTGGAGTTCCAGCTGCCTGTGTCTTCCCTTCCTGACCCTGAGCCCTTGGCCTGGACTGCCGGGTCACACGGCCGCCCCCAACAGAAGGAGGGAACACGTCTCTCGTCACGGCACTGGGGGACCATTGTGTTTGTGGACTAAGGAACGCATGAATGACACTCACCCCGTCATGCACGAGGGCCTTCCAGGTGTGCTCCAGCTTCTTGATGAACCTGCAGAGAAGAAAGCGCTGAGCATGTGCCTAACTTCCGGGGCCGGTGGTTCTCCGGTGGACACTGGGCCGTGTCTGGGGACATCTGTGGTCATCACGACAGGGGGTGCTCCTGGCACTGAGCGGGTGGGAAGCCCCGGTCTAGAGGAACTGAGGCTGCCTGCGGCACCAGCCGGAGGCCACCTCCCTCTTCCTGTCCCCTCCATTCCCCATCCCGGCCTGCTGGCAGCTCCTACCACTGCTTCTGTCGGGGAGGAAGTGAAAAGGTTTCACTGCTTGACCCCCTGTGGGGGACTGGAGATCAGTACCTCCCAGAATACATCCCTCCCCTGTCCTCATGGCCTTGGCTGAGCCATGATCCTCTCAGCTGAAATTATCGTCTGGCACTGTGGCTCTAACGAGGTCCTTGAACGCCTAGGCTGAGGACAATGGTGCCTCCTCCAGGCAGCCTTCCTGGACACCCCCTCGTCCACCACAGGGGAGAGTCCTCTCCTCAGCACACACCCCCTCATGACACCCCTGCCCCAGGATGGGTTTGTGGCTGCCTGACATGTGCCAGCCCCCACTCCTTGCCTCCACTCAGAGCCTCTGCAGAAACCTTAGTTTGCTACTTGAGAAACTTCTTAATCCTGCTCTAAATCAGGAGGGACATCCCTGTGGCAGAGGTCTACAAAGGTAGGAACGCAGGCTGCGAATACTAGCGATGGATGGGCAGGAGCCGAGTTTCGTACGTAGGAAAGGAAGACACACAAGGGAGAAGTCACCAGTGCTGGGTGGACAGGAAGTGGGGACCACCGCGCCCACAACGCCCCCTCAGTCTGGTCGGGATCGTGCAGAAGGCACACATGCTACTCTCAGAATAAAACACTAACGATTAAGGGGCGCATGGGTGGCTCAGTGGGTCAAAGCCTCTGCCTTCGGCTCAGGTCATGACCCTGGGGTCCTGGAATCGAGCCCCGCATTGGGCTCTCTGCTCAGTGGGGAGCCTGGTTCCCTCTCTCTCTGCCTGCCTCTCTGCCTACCTGTGATCTCTGTCTGTCACATAAATAAACAAAATCTTTAACAAACCACTAACAATTAAACCACGCTCACGGCCGAGACCTCGTAGAGGACGACCGCAGGTAACGGGGCTGCCGACGCTCCAGCTCTGAGCTGCAGGTAAGGCTTCGCTGTCTGCTCCGGGGCTCCACCGTGCTCGAGACCACACAACATGTGGCTGTGGCCATGAACGTTTCTTCCTGCCCATCGTATGAGCTGTCTGGGGATGCCGTGCCTCGTGGCCACGGGGCGCTCCCATCTTGCTGTTTACCCCAGCACACGGCACACAGTAGGTGCTCAGCAGACAGGAGTGCATGGAAGATGGGCTGGCGACATCCTCCCCCCCCCCCCAGGCCCCATGACAACCCCAACCTCTAGCTGACCGGAGATCTCACCACATTCCCAGCACAGATCCTACAGATGGTGTCGTCCGGCTGGGGACCAAATGCCTCCCTTTAGGGCCTGGCAGCCAGCTGGGAGCCTTGTGGGGGGGGGACCTCGCGGGGGCAGGTGGTGACTAAGGAAGTCTGGACAGCAGAGCACATGGCTTCTGGGAGCAAGCAAGTGCATGGGGTAAGGGGAGGCGGGTGGGGCGCAGGCAGGGGGAGATGTGGGGAGCCAGGGCAGGGGGGAGAGGGAGGGAGGGCGGTTCCCACCTGTAGGACTGCAGAATGTCAATGATGCCGATATGCAGCAGCAGACGCTCGCCACGGCCGTTCACGGCGGGGATGCCGCCCATCCTGGGGGGGGAGCGCACTCAGCACCCGCCCCCCCAGCCCACTCGCTCCCCGTGGGGGCTGCGCCGCTGGGACGGGGCTGGTTTCCGCTCCTCTCAGGCCAGCCACTGTCAGCGGGAGGCTGCGGACAGGCCAGCCCCGCCCCCCGCGTGCACGCGCACGCGCACGCACACCCATGCACGCGCACGCACACTCACCCCGGGCAGGACCACCAGGGCTTCTGGGTGCCCTCGGTGGGGGGCGTTAGTGGTTTCACTCGGCTCCCCCATGCCCAGCCCAGAGCGGTTAGTGAGGTCACACAAGACAGCGACTGTCCTAGGTCACCAACAACCCGCCAGGCTCAGGCCCCCGCAGGCCCCTCTCATGGCACTGCACGCCCTGGTGAGCTCACCTGCGCACCCCGCCATCCCCTGCCGGGCCCTGCGCAAACCCTACAAACACCAAGACGGTGGGAGGTGGGCCAGCCCTGGAGGACTTGGCGGCTCCCCACCAGGCTGCCCCTGTCGGGGGCTGGCGCCTGCTCCCCACCCGCCCCCCAGCGGCTGGCCTAGAGTGGCAGCCCCCACTCCCCGGCTGTGCACCAGGACATCTGCTTCTGCTTCCGCCTCCGAACCCCCGCTTCCCCAGCTGATGATGGGGGGTGAGGCCCCCTCCCCCTTCAGGCCCCCCACCCTGGACTGGTTCCCAGCAGTTCAATGTACGACGACAAGAAGCCAACTTCGAACCTGACCATGGTGGCAGTTCCCACCCAGACCGCCTTCCATGAGCTCCGGGTGGTGTCCCGGGACGTCTGTGGTCCTCATGACTTCGGGGGGCCTCCTGGCACCAGGTGGGTGAGGGCCGGGGATGCTGCTCAGCCCCCCAGGGCCCAGGACGCCCACCCCATACAGAACGACCCAGCCCAGTGTCCACAGTGCTAGGAGGGTGGGTGGGGCACCCATGAGTCTGTCTCCCCACCAAACCTCGAGCCCCCGCAGCAGGACCGGGTCAGCCCGTTGTCTCTGAGCCTACGACCTCGTCCTCCATCACAGCGGCCTGTTGTCCCAGGGGCTCTGGGCCTGGCACCCTGGTCCCCAGCGCCACGACCTTCTTCAACACCTTTCCAGCTCCGCTGCTGACAGTGGTGTTTGAACCCACTCGGGGCTCCAGTATGTGGAGGAGCCCGTGTCCCCCTACAGACGGCCAATGGCCTCATCCACTGGCAGATTCATCTGGAAGGCCCTGGTCATCACACAGCCGGGTGTCTGTGCATCCTCCCGTGAGACCCCCGTGGGGTCCCAGCGCAGACCGGGAACCGGCCGCAGATGGTCTCGCCCTCCTGGCCAGATCCCCCAACTCCCACCCGTCTCCCGCCCCGCCAAGCCCCGTGCCACCTACGTGTCGTCTGACTCGATGGCCTCACCCCGCGCGGCCCCGCCCTGGATGGACTCCATGGCCGTGGAGTAGAGCGCCTTCTGGCCCAGCGGCCGCTTCTCGTCCGCGCTGCTCTGGGCACCCTCGGCCTGCCGCTCGCGCTCCTGCTGGTCGATGTTGTGCACGCCCAGGAGTAGACTATAGTCCATGATCTTGAAGCTCTCCAGCACCTGTCGGAGGGGGGTTAGGAGGTCACGCTCCCCACCCCCTCCCCACACCCGGCTCCGTGTGGTCCCAAGCTGCGTCTGGGTCTGTGCCCGCCCCGTCCCACAGCCACATGAGGGCCTGTCCTGACCCCTGTTTCACGCGTGGTGAGGAGACCAAGGGGGCCGGGGCCGGGCCATGCCCAGGGCAGAAGGCACCTGGGGGACCACCTCTCAGAGTCGGGACTGGGCGTTTCCTTCCTCCTGTCAGAGCTCCGGCCTGCCCGGTGACAGCTGGGGAGCCCGGGACCCCTCCTGGCCCCAAGGGCCCTGACACCTGGACACAGGGAAGCAGGTCCGGAGAGGTCTGGGGGGTCGTCTGGGGAGATTGGGCACAGTTTTCAAACAGGCCTGGGGGCCGGCGGTGATGGGCCGAGGGCCAGGGACGCCGCAGAAGGCTCTGGAAGGCCCGGGGTGCCCCTCATCTCTAGAGCAGCAGGCATGATGAGCCTCTGCCTTCAGCTCAGGTCATGATCTCAGGGTCCTGGGATCGAGCCCCGCATCGGGCTCTCTGCTCAGCGGGGAGCCTGCTTCCCCCTCTCTCTGCCTACTTGTAATCTCTCTGTCAAATAAATTAAAAAAATCTTTAAAAAATTTAAAGAAAAAGAATTTAGTTAAAAAAATTAAAAATTAAAAAAATTAAAAAGGATCAACAAGCAGGTGGACGGGTCTTCTGCCTGCCCCACACCCCACCCACCGGGGGTGTGGACTTTGGAGAAGACTCCAGTGACTCAGGATTCTGTGCAGTTCAAGAGCCTAACTTAAATCTGTGCCCAGGAAAGTGGTCAGAGAGGCAGGGCTCTGGGTGGGCAAGCCCAGGGGCTGCGGGGGGCGGTGGGGCGGGGAAGCTCACCGGCCATCCTGTCCCGAAGACTGCGTGCGCCGCCTGCAGAGAGAGAGACCAGAGCAGGTGCATCAGGGGGCTTGGCCTCCAGCCCGGTCCCTCCCCGCCGCCACAGGGAGGGGGACCCTCCACACCCTCACCGGTACCGCGGCTGCTCCGATGTCTCCGAGGGAGACCGCTCCGGGATGGAGAGCGACGTGGAGGACAGGGTTGTAGCGATGGAGGCGGTGGTGGCCTCCTCGAAAGATGGCGGTGTGCAGGGCAGGAGGTCGGGCCGGCCTGCGGGGCAGGCGCGGGGGCTGTGGGTGCCTGCAGCAGCCCTGCCTCTCTCTGCCTCCACCTGCAGCCTGGCTCGCCCCACCTGCGACCCAATACTCTGTTCTGCTCTACTGCTTTAAGAGGGCACATACCTTCGAAGTTACCCTTGGCACAGAGGCTTCCCATAACCTGCTGCTCTCAAACCGCAGTCCAAACCCTGCCCAAGCCCACAGGTCCTGTGGGAACAGCCGCTTCCTCTTTCCTCACCCTTCCTGACTTTGCTCCAACCACAGGCCTCCTGCTGTCCCTCCAACACACCAGGTCTCTTGCTGCCCCAGGGCCTTTGCATGTGCAGTCTCTCCCTTCCTTGATACTATTCCCCCCACCCCCTCCCTGCCAGGAATCTTTGACTCTTTAACTCTGGGAACTGGGAGGAACCTTTCAAACCATCACACCCAACCCCATCAAATGCTTCCTCCCTCTAGGTCTCAGAACATCTGGCAATGGGGGGGGGTCACCTCCTCGGGTAGCATCTTCTGTTCAGCTCTCCCTGTGGCTCCTAGCCACTCCCCATCCCCAATCCCTGGATGCCCAGACCTTAGGCTGGGACTGGGGTAGGGAGGTGACTGGGACCCAGGACCCTGCCATCCAGGCCGACAGCTTCTAGAACCCTTTCCTCAAACCGGGTTGCTTCCTGCATGCCCTCCCCTCTCAGCCCTGCAGGGACAGTACCTTTCCCCAGCAGACCCCTTCTCTCTCCTGTCCCCAGAGCACCCTCTCCCCAGCCAGCCCAGTCACCTTCGTCCTCTAGCGTGGGGTAGCTGCGGGCCCCACGGAGGTCGTACTGTGCGTCCTCGCGCTCGCTGGGGATCTGGCTGGCCGAGAAGGCAGCGGTGGGCCCCAGGGGCTTGACGGCCAGCAAGGCACCACGGCCCTTCTTGGATGGTGAGGACTTCAGGGCTGTGGAGAGAGGTGAACTGGCACTTGGGGCAGCCTGGGAGCCCCGTGGCCAGGCTCCACCGGCCCCCATCCCTCCCTTGCATGAAAGCCTGCTGCCCGCGTACACAGCTCCCACTGCCCGGCCTCCAGCCTGGCCCTCAAGCCTGGGCAAAAAGCAACATCCTTTGCAGAGGAAACCTTGTCCTGCTTCCTACCCAGCTCTGCCTCGGGAGGTCCCAGAAGCCCCCTCTGGCAGCCCACCCGGGCTGTGGCCTCCACTTTCAGACACGTAAACGGAGGCCTGGGGCCATGCGGGGCTCAGCACCAAGGCCCTGGCTCCAGTCCAGGATGAATGGCCTGGGCAATGGGGCTCAGCAACCTCATCTGCAGCGACAGGGTCAGACAAGGGGGGTCACCCCCTGACGCCCCCTGCCCCTGGCCTCGCCCATCAGCGAGCATCACCAGGTTCTCTCCCTGCTCTTCCTGTGAGCTCGGCCCCCAGGGTTGGCCAGCACAATGCCAAGCACACAGTAGGTGCTCAGTTCGCCTGGTGAGCAGCCCTCCCGTCCCTGGAGGCTGGCGCCCCCCCGACTGCAGGGAGAATGACACCCAGGAAAGGTTCTAAGAAGTGAGAAAGTGAGACGCTGATGAAAGTGGAACGGCCCACTCTTGGGAGACAAAGGCCAGAACAGTGGGGTTCGCCCATTTCCACGACGCCAGTGACCCCACTGCCATCGGTTTCAAGCTACCGGCTCGACATAAGGGAACATGGAGTCGTGCTGGCTCCACGAGCTGGCTCCTGGTGACTGGGCGGTGCCACTGCCCACACAGGCCTGGCCCAGGCTGGGAGAGCAGGTCCCACGCCAGGCATCGGCCCTGCCCACCCCTGCTGTCTCTGTGGACCCACCAGGATGGTAAGGAGCACACTGAGACACTCCCACGAATGACTCTGCCTGAACACCCATGGCGTGCTGGGCCCCGGGCTGGACACTGGGGACACAGAGGGACTGAGGCTGACAAGCACGCTGTCTTCTGGGCGCACAGGGAGCAGGAGGCAGATGGCAGACAGACACGTGGGGAGAAAAGACCCTTTCAGGCAGCATATGGGATCCCGGCCTGGGGTGTGCACCACGCCTGGCACTTGAGGCACAGCACAGAGAGGGGACCCTCTGAGGACACCCACGGGACATGGGCTGCCTCTGTCTGGTGCCCTCCTTGACAATGCCTGGTCCGGCTGGTGGCCAGCTGCCTGTGTCCCCCGAGGCCACGTTTCCCTGCTGAGGACGCAAGGCCACAGGTGGTCCCCGTGAGGACCGGCACAGGCCAAACGCACCTGTCATGTGGGTAAACACATCTTGCCCTCTGTACGGATGGGGAAAGTGAGGCATGGAGCAGGGCGTCCCCTGCTTGAAGTCACAGAGGCAGGACGTGGTGGGGCCAGAACTCAAGCTCAAACAGCGGGCCCCAGGCCCCGTGCTGGGCCCCAGGACGGTGGCATCCTGACTCCCCTGTTCTCTGGACCAAGTGCCCGACCGAGGCCCACGGATGGCCACATGGCCAGAGGAGGGGCTCTGGGTTTACCGTGCTCTTGGCGACCCCACCTCCCCGCTCCGCACCCCCGGGGGCCCTCTTGGCCAGAGGGCCTGGGAAGCTCACAGGAATTCTTCCGGAAGACCGTGTTGCTCATGAACTTGAAGAAGCGCTCGGCATAGAAGCTGGGCCGGTGGACAGAGACGGTGTCCTGGGGAGAGAAGCGGGGCCCGCAGGCAGGAAGGGCTGAGTGTCCCCATGCCACCAGTGCTCCCCGTGTCCTGTGAGACAGCCCAGCCACACAGCGGCAGTCGGGCCGAGAGACGGGTCCATGGCACGGGGCTGGCGGGTAACCTGGCAGGGAGGGGCCTGGGAGGGACATTTCTTCATTATAAACCCATCTGTGCTTTTAATCCTTTGAATCACATGAATAAAACAGCAACCGCAAAGAAGTAATCGAATAAAGAGCAAAACATGGAAATCAGAGGAGTCCTCCAGATGTCCCCAGACACGGCCTGGGTCCTCTACCTGCTGTAATGTGACAGATCCCATAGGGACACAAGGCCTCCAGAACACACACTACATTTCCCATCCTCACTGCAGTGAGGCAGGACTGCAGGACCGGGTGCTGGCCGAGGGTGTGGGAGCCAAGACCGGGACGGAGTTCCCGCCCTCTCCTCTGCCTGGAGTGCTGTCGGGGGCCAGCCACCTGGGCTGGGGGCTGAGGACCATGCCCAGAAGGCCACCCTGCCTGCCCCAGAGGGCTCACGCCTGTGATGTTACTCTGATTAACGTCTGGACCCCCAGGAGCTGAGCCAAAGTTTACTCTGGGGATTACATGTGGCCTCATGGGGACTTGGCAACTCTCCTTTCTGCCGAGGCTTTCTAATGCCATGAAAGGGTTTCCTGCTGACTGGCTGCCCACCTGGACCATCTCGGTGCACTTTCTGGAAGCTTCCATCTGGACCCCCACCCCCACCTGCAAACAGAGGGGAGTGTTGGGGGCTTTTACAGACTACGTGAACACAGACAGCCCTTAGCACTTTAGTAAGAACTGGTCTGCAGGGGGCCATGGGAGGAGAGGCGTGCGTCCAAGGCCCCAGCCAGCTCGTCAGCACAGCCGGACCAGGTGTGCCTGGCCCCCAGATGGGCTGTTTTCTTCCCTGCAGTTGGTCCTCAAAGTCTTTCCATATTTGGAAATAACCCACTGCTGGGGTCCATGCGTTGGCCGTGTTGCAGGAAAAAGGCGCATTTAGCCCATTCTCAAGCAGCACAGACATGCTGCAGCAGGCCTCAGCCCTCGAGGCAATGGGTCAGCGTTGTGCAGTTAGACCCATGCAACCTCCTCTCTATCACGACACGTTTCCAGAACGTTCTCTGCCTAGCTGGCCCCTGACGTTCCTGGTCCTCCTGGCCCGGCTGTCTTCAGGGAATCCTTCCAACTCAGCTTCCAACTCTTCTCCTCCAAGAAGCCTTTCTGTCCCCCTCCCCAGTGGAGATCAGACCCCCTCACTGGAGGTCCTCACTGGAGTTCCAGCTGCCTGTGTCTTCCCTTCCTGACCCTGAGCCCTTGGCCTGGACTGCCGGGTCACACGGCCGCCCCCAACAGAAGGAGGGAACACGTCTCTCGTCACGGCACTGGGGGACCATTGTGTTTGTGGACTAAGGAACGCATGAATGACACTCACCCCGTCATGCACGAGGGCCTTCCAGGTGTGCTCCAGCTTCTTGATGAACCTGCAGAGAAGAAAGCGCTGAGCATGTGCCTAACTTCCGGGGCCGGTGGTTCTCCGGTGGACACTGGGCCGTGTCTGGGGACATCTGTGGTCATCACGACAGGGGGTGCTCCTGGCACTGAGCGGGTGGGAAGCCCCGGTCTAGAGGAACTGAGGCTGCCTGCGGCACCAGCCGGAGGCCACCTCCCTCTTCCTGTCCCCTCCATTCCCCATCCCGGCCTGCTGGCAGCTCCTACCACTGCTTCTGTCGGGGAGGAAGTGAAAAGGTTTCACTGCTTGACCCCCTGTGGGGGACTGGAGATCAGTACCTCCCAGAATACATCCCTCCCCTGTCCTCATGGCCTTGGCTGAGCCATGATCCTCTCAGCTGAAATTATCGTCTGGCACTGTGGCTCTAACGAGGTCCTTGAACGCCTAGGCTGAGGACAATGGTGCCTCCTCCAGGCAGCCTTCCTGGACACCCCCTCGTCCACCACAGGGGAGAGTCCTCTCCTCAGCACACACCCCCTCATGACACCCCTGCCCCAGGATGGGTTTGTGGCTGCCTGACATGTGCCAGCCCCCACTCCTTGCCTCCACTCAGAGCCTCTGCAGAAACCTTAGTTTGCTACTTGAGAAACTTCTTAATCCTGCTCTAAATCAGGAGGGACATCCCTGTGGCAGAGGTCTACAAAGGTAGGAACGCAGGCTGCGAATACTAGCGATGGATGGGCAGGAGCCGAGTTTCGTACGTAGGAAAGGAAGACACACAAGGGAGAAGTCACCAGTGCTGGGTGGACAGGAAGTGGGGACCACCGCGCCCACAACGCCCCCTCAGTCTGGTCGGGATCGTGCAGAAGGCACACATGCTACTCTCAGAATAAAACACTAACGATTAAGGGGCGCATGGGTGGCTCAGTGGGTCAAAGCCTCTGCCTTCGGCTCAGGTCATGACCCTGGGGTCCTGGAATCGAGCCCCGCATTGGGCTCTCTGCTCAGTGGGGAGCCTGGTTCCCTCTCTCTCTGCCTGCCTCTCTGCCTACCTGTGATCTCTGTCTGTCACATAAATAAACAAAATCTTTAACAAACCACTAACAATTAAACCACGCTCACGGCCGAGACCTCGTAGAGGACGACCGCAGGTAACGGGGCTGCCGACGCTCCAGCTCTGAGCTGCAGGTAAGGCTTCGCTGTCTGCTCCGGGGCTCCACCGTGCTCGAGACCACACAACATGTGGCTGTGGCCATGAACGTTTCTTCCTGCCCATCGTATGAGCTGTCTGGGGATGCCGTGCCTCGTGGCCACGGGGCGCTCCCATCTTGCTGTTTACCCCAGCACACGGCACACAGTAGGTGCTCAGCAGACAGGAGTGCATGGAAGATGGGCTGGCGACATCCTCCCCCCCCCCCCAGGCCCCATGACAACCCCAACCTCTAGCTGACCGGAGATCTCACCACATTCCCAGCACAGATCCTACAGATGGTGTCGTCCGGCTGGGGACCAAATGCCTCCCTTTAGGGCCTGGCAGCCAGCTGGGAGCCTTGTGGGGGGGGGACCTCGCGGGGGCAGGTGGTGACTAAGGAAGTCTGGACAGCAGAGCACATGGCTTCTGGGAGCAAGCAAGTGCATGGGGTAAGGGGAGGCGGGTGGGGCGCAGGCAGGGGGAGATGTGGGGAGCCAGGGCAGGGGGGAGAGGGAGGGAGGGCGGTTCCCACCTGTAGGACTGCAGAATGTCAATGATGCCGATATGCAGCAGCAGACGCTCGCCACGGCCGTTCACGGCGGGGATGCCGCCCATCCTGGGGGGGGAGCGCACTCAGCACCCGCCCCCCCAGCCCACTCGCTCCCCGTGGGGGCTGCGCCGCTGGGACGGGGCTGGTTTCCGCTCCTCTCAGGCCAGCCACTGTCAGCGGGAGGCTGCGGACAGGCCAGCCCCGCCCCCCGCGTGCACGCGCACGCGCACGCACACCCATGCACGCGCACGCACACTCACCCCGGGCAGGACCACCAGGGCTTCTGGGTGCCCTCGGTGGGGGGCGTTAGTGGTTTCACTCGGCTCCCCCATGCCCAGCCCAGAGCGGTTAGTGAGGTCACACAAGACAGCGACTGTCCTAGGTCACCAACAACCCGCCAGGCTCAGGCCCCCGCAGGCCCCTCTCATGGCACTGCACGCCCTGGTGAGCTCACCTGCGCACCCCGCCATCCCCTGCCGGGCCCTGCGCAAACCCTACAAACACCAAGACGGTGGGAGGTGGGCCAGCCCTGGAGGACTTGGCGGCTCCCCACCAGGCTGCCCCTGTCGGGGGCTGGCGCCTGCTCCCCACCCGCCCCCCAGCGGCTGGCCTAGAGTGGCAGCCCCCACTCCCCGGCTGTGCACCAGGACATCTGCTTCTGCTTCCGCCTCCGAACCCCCGCTTCCCCAGCTGATGATGGGGGGTGAGGCCCCCTCCCCCTTCAGGCCCCCCACCCTGGACTGGTTCCCAGCAGTTCAATGTACGACGACAAGAAGCCAACTTCGAACCTGACCATGGTGGCAGTTCCCACCCAGACCGCCTTCCATGAGCTCCGGGTGGTGTCCCGGGACGTCTGTGGTCCTCATGACTTCGGGGGGCCTCCTGGCACCAGGTGGGTGAGGGCCGGGGATGCTGCTCAGCCCCCCAGGGCCCAGGACGCCCACCCCATACAGAACGACCCAGCCCAGTGTCCACAGTGCTAGGAGGGTGGGTGGGGCACCCATGAGTCTGTCTCCCCACCAAACCTCGAGCCCCCGCAGCAGGACCGGGTCAGCCCGTTGTCTCTGAGCCTACGACCTCGTCCTCCATCACAGCGGCCTGTTGTCCCAGGGGCTCTGGGCCTGGCACCCTGGTCCCCAGCGCCACGACCTTCTTCAACACCTTTCCAGCTCCGCTGCTGACAGTGGTGTTTGAACCCACTCGGGGCTCCAGTATGTGGAGGAGCCCGTGTCCCCCTACAGACGGCCAATGGCCTCATCCACTGGCAGATTCATCTGGAAGGCCCTGGTCATCACACAGCCGGGTGTCTGTGCATCCTCCCGTGAGACCCCCGTGGGGTCCCAGCGCAGACCGGGAACCGGCCGCAGATGGTCTCGCCCTCCTGGCCAGATCCCCCAACTCCCACCCGTCTCCCGCCCCGCCAAGCCCCGTGCCACCTACGTGTCGTCTGACTCGATGGCCTCACCCCGCGCGGCCCCGCCCTGGATGGACTCCATGGCCGTGGAGTAGAGCGCCTTCTGGCCCAGCGGCCGCTTCTCGTCCGCGCTGCTCTGGGCACCCTCGGCCTGCCGCTCGCGCTCCTGCTGGTCGATGTTGTGCACGCCCAGGAGTAGACTATAGTCCATGATCTTGAAGCTCTCCAGCACCTGTCGGAGGGGGGTTAGGAGGTCACGCTCCCCACCCCCTCCCCACACCCGGCTCCGTGTGGTCCCAAGCTGCGTCTGGGTCTGTGCCCGCCCCGTCCCACAGCCACATGAGGGCCTGTCCTGACCCCTGTTTCACGCGTGGTGAGGAGACCAAGGGGGCCGGGGCCGGGCCATGCCCAGGGCAGAAGGCACCTGGGGGACCACCTCTCAGAGTCGGGACTGGGCGTTTCCTTCCTCCTGTCAGAGCTCCGGCCTGCCCGGTGACAGCTGGGGAGCCCGGGACCCCTCCTGGCCCCAAGGGCCCTGACACCTGGACACAGGGAAGCAGGTCCGGAGAGGTCTGGGGGGTCGTCTGGGGAGATTGGGCACAGTTTTCAAACAGGCCTGGGGGCCGGCGGTGATGGGCCGAGGGCCAGGGACGCCGCAGAAGGCTCTGGAAGGCCCGGGGTGCCCCTCATCTCTAGAGCAGCAGGCATGATGCCCCCGGGCTGCAGGGGTGGAGGAGACCACAAGGACCCCCGGGCTGCAGGGGTGGAGGAGACCACAAGGACCCCCGGGCTGCAGGGGTGGAGGAGACCACAAGGACCTGCCGACAGGTGCTCACGCCGCGGCGGCTCATCCAGCGTCCCCGTGTCCCGGAGGGGACCACGGAGGCTCAGAGGGCTGAGGGCCCGCCCCCGCGCCCCCACCCCCTGCACAGGCGAGCCCCACGGCCTCACCAGGCAGTCCCGCTGCAGCGTCTTGACGAGCGCGGAGAAGGTGTCGGCGTCGAGCAGCAGCCCCTCGGGCATGTCCTGGATGAAGTCCAGGTCCTTGTAGGTGGGGATGGTTTTCTCCTTCTCCTTCTTGCTGGCCCGCCGCTTGTACGTGGAGCCCTTGAGGTCGAACTTGAGGTGCATCTTGACGACCCGCGGCAGGATGTTGTTCATGACCACCACGCGGATGTTCTTGCCGCCCGACTGCACGCAGTACAGCCCATAGAACTTGGGCAGCAGCGTCCTCGGGTTCTGGTTGAGGTTCTGGGGTGGGGGAGGGGCAGGGTCTGAGGAGAGCGGCGGCGGCGGCCAGGGAGCCGCCCCCAGGAAGCCCGCCCTGACCACCTGGGCCCCGGGCCAGCCCCTCTCTCAGCCCTCCCAGCGTCCAGACGTGCGCCGGGATCTGCGTCCCCCAGACGAGAGGCTCCAGGAGGGCCCCCGGCCGAGGTGCCAGGGCCAGACCAGCTGTCCCACTTGCCCGCCCTGGGGTGACAGGGGGGCCCGGCCTCTGGGCGCCGTCCAGAGCAAGGATCGGCAAACTCCAGGGGGAAGGCCAAGTCCAAACATGGACTCGTTCTCCCGCTGCCGGCCACAAGCTAACGGCTTTGTGTTATAAACCACTGGGAGCGAAGAACAGAAAACTAGTGTCTTGGGACGTGAAGCTCACATTTCAGTGTCAGTAAGTGAAGGTCACGGGTGCCGGGCCACCCCAGTCTGCTCCCTTGAGGCCCTCGAGGGCCCTCCCCAAGCAGCAGCGGGCGGAGCTGGGACGGGAGAGGCTGATTGGCTCTTTACGGGAAGCCCGCCGACCCCCAACCTAGGGGAGCCAGGGGGCCACCCCAGCGTCTCGTGCCCCAGATGAGACCCCCAGGCGCAGATGGCACACAGTCCACGCAGAGCTGCCCGGGAAGGCCTAGCAGGGCAGGTGGGCACTCAGGCGGAGCCCACCCCTGTCCGTGCCAGCAGTAGGACCCCGGCTCCCGCGCCCACCTCCACCCGGGGGTCTGTGGAGCCCTTCCAACTTGTAAGTCACATGGGGAACGGGACGCGCCCCAGCAGCTGGGCCTTTGTGACATGCCAGCTGGTGGCCCGGCCCCCCTCCCCCACGCCTGAGTCACCAGCTCCACGAGCCCCACGAGACAGGATTTCTGGCATCCGTGACTCAGGGCTGCTGGCAGTGGGGTGTGGGGGGCCTGGGGAGCGAGGGCGGAGCGGGTACCCAGCCCCCAGCCCCCCGCACCCCACCCGGCTCTAGGGAAGACCCCACGGGCCTGGATGGCCATTCCTGCCTGCCGTGTCTGGAGGGCTGCGTGACGGGGTCCTGAGGGCGAGGCTCAGTGGCCCAGCAAGGCTTCCCGACCCGAGGAGGAGGGTGGGCGTGCCCCGGGGACTGCTGGCCCCGCGTGCCAGAGTGCGGCGAGGGAAGGGCGGCTCACCATGTAGTAGCCGGGTAGCAGCTTCTGCAGGAACTCGGCCTCCTTGTGCATCACTGTCTTGATGATGAACTCGTCGTCGCTGGTGACGTAGAACAAGGAGCCGCTGGCACCAGGGTTGGACAGCTCGATCAGTGGCTCGTTGCACAGCGAGTACTGGGGGGGCAGGGAGTGGGCAGGTGGGTCACTGACACCCCACGGGCCCAGCGGCTAGTGGACAACTCTGGAACAGGTCCCTGTGTCAGCCTCCTTTTACAGACGAAGAAATAGGCTCAGAGAGGGAGACTGACGTGCCGGAGGCCACACAGCACAGATTTGAACCCCGGGCTGACTGGCAGCCTGGGTGCTGATCTCCTAGGGCCTAGTCCCTCTCCTGTGAGCAATAGACTCCCGGGTATGTTGGGGGGCTGACAGATCTGGCCAACACTCCCTCCCCAACCTCCCCCACAGCTGGGTGAGGCCACAGACGTTGACTCGGGCTCAGGAGGGGCTTCAGGGAAGGCCCCCTAAGTGGGGGACTAGAGCTGGTGCACCTCGGGTTTGTGCCCTTCCCTCCATCCCATCTATTTCCACCTGGAATGCTGATGTGAGAGCTGGAACCCCAGTCGCCATGCTGGCTCAGAAGGTGACCTTGAGTACGGAGGCCCCGCACCAGAACAGCAGAGAAAAGAGGAACCTGTGTCTCGGGGCGCAGCCCTCCGGCACCTGGCACCCCTACCTCTCTTCCCACCGACATCTGCTTCACCTCCGGGTTTGCTGCCCAGCAGCCCCACACATCCTCCCCACCAGCAGGACATTCTTGGATGCAGGGATTTCTAAGAATTCTGATCATGGAGGGTCCCCAGCACCCGGGACAGTGTCCAGCCCAGCTGGAAGGCTAGGTCCTACAGGTTGCTCTCCCCGGGCCTTCCAAGCTAGTGAGTCCATGAAGAGCTTTTCAGGACTAAGGTTTCTGTGGTGGGTTTCTGTCCCTTGAGACCCCTCCAAGGCCTGAGTACCACCGGTGTACAGCACGGAAGAGGCCACAGCATGTCCCCTATTGGGTGGAGGGTGCCAGCCTGCCACAGTCACTGCTTGGTGAAGTGTAACACGGGGCTGGCAGATGGCGGGGAGGGGGAGGACACAGCTGAGAAGCAAGGATGCCCCCTCTCCCGGGGGGGGCCGCAAGTCCTGACCACCCACAGCCACAAGCCACCAATACCCACGGAATCACAGAGGCCCACGCCCAGGCTGCCCGTGCTCTCCCTCCTCACCTCCCACCTGCTCCTAGGACGGCAGCGAGGGGTGGGCAGGGACCCCACGGGGGCTGGTGTCCACGGCCTCTGGAGCCCACGAATACCCCAAAGGCACTGCAACAGACCCCAGCTAGCAGGAGAGGGGAAGTGCGGAGAGAAACGAGTGGTGGAAGGGGATTGTGCACTTTGTACAGAAGTCTAGGAGCACAGAATGTTCTAGAACCACATGGCTAAGAGCAGCTGCCCTCAGGGAGTGTCCCTGGTCCATGCATGGGGTCAGGCCTCACACGGCCCAGGTGGCCGGGGTGACACACATGGACCTTCCAGCCAGGTCACCAACCGCCAGGGTGGGCTCGCAGGCAGATGACCCCAGATGTGCCCCCTTCTCCCTCAGAGCCCGGGGGGCACCTAGGGCCCAAGGCTGACTGACTACCCATGCCCCCTCCCCCGACCCCCCTGCCTCCCCCAACTAAAGCTAACATGGGACAGCACAGGGCTTTCACAAACAGGGACGGTGGGCACGCCCCCACGAAACTCAGGACCCACGGCGGCGGTGGCCCCAGAAGTCTCTAGAGCCAAGGCAGTGCCTGTGGCCCCTGGGGGCCCCTCGGGAAGACACAGGAACCCCGAGGGGGCAGAGATGACAGGCAGGGACGATCCAGCCGCGTCCGAGCTCTCCAGCCGCATCCAAGCTCCCCAGTCCTACCATGGGAGGGCCTCTCGGTTCCACGAGGCCTCATCACCCCAACACAGCAGCAGGGCAGGTCTTAAAGAGGACAGAGGACACCTGCTGAGCACCCACTCGAGGCCAAGACAGGACTTCGACTGCCTCCGTGTCCACTCTGGGGCCAGCACCCGCCAGCTGGTGTCTGCACGCCGCTAACGGGCCCCGGGCCATCCTGTTGCTAGCACGACTAATGCCGTGGACCTTCGCTCTACCCCTGAGACCCCAAATCTAGGGTCGCTTCCACTCTAGAACCATCAGGCTGTTCTCCCTCCGATAAGGTTGCAGGACCACAGGCAAGGTCAGAGGGGGAAGCCATGGAGCCTGCCACGGACGCTGTGGTCTGAGGACTGGACCTTGACCTTGGCAAGGGGCAGATGAACAGCTGGAGAACCCCTGGCTGGAATGAGGGCTGGTCCCCCATGGAAAGACACGGTCACGGCTGAGGGCACAGGTTCTCGTGGACCAAGAACCCAGTGGGGGCACGCAGCCGAGGACGTCCCAGCACACAGGGAAACGAGTCACTGCCGGTGAGAATCAGCAAGACCACAGCCCCAGGGACGGCAGATGGTGGGGGGACCGGGCGGAGCAGACCAGGCGGCTAAGGCCCTGCTCCTGTGCAGGGGCGGAGGCTTCCAGAAGACAGTCGCCGAACAACGGAACTGCAGACTGATCCCCGTCTACACAGGCCCTGTAACTTCCAGGAGCCCCACTCGTGCATTGTGAGATCAAAGGGTAGGGCCTAGGTTTCCATTTTTCTAATCTGAGAGACTGAAACCACACCAGAACCGGGGGCACACGCTGAGCTGGTCCCCACGACCTACCTCCCCTCAAAGGGAGGCAGGACCTGTGATGTGGCCGGGGTGACAGGACAGTCCTGTCGCTCATGCTCTGAGGGACAGGCCCCGGTCAGTGGGCAAGGAACAGGGTCCTCCAAGACGTGGGCTTGGAAGCTGACCATCCCCCAGGCTGGTCCCTCTGAGTCTCCGGCCCCAGCCTAGCCTCCACCGCCACGCTGGGCAAAGGACCCGGCCGAGCTGCACCCAAATTCCTGACCCACGGAAACCACGAGGTAACAGACACATGTGTCTCTCGGAACTTGTGGCACGGCAGTAGCGGGCTGACCATGGCTCTCACCAAGTAATCGTCAGGTCGGATCCCGAAGAGCTCCCGGAAATAGCGGAAGGCAACGGGGGCGTAGGTCTTGAACCTGAAGTCCTGGAAGTGGTGGGCGGGGGTGAGGTTGCTGCCTTCACTGTGGGGCAAGAAGGGAGGCTGGTGAGGGACAGGGACGCTGTGGGCACCTCTCCCACTGCCAGGGCCCAGGGCGGCGCCTGAGGCCTCCCCTAGTGTGCAACCCAGCAACCAGCACAGAGCTCCCCTGGGGCCAAAGGGCATGGCCGGTCTGCGGTGGCATACCGGTATCCACTCCCTCCCGTGCTAAGTCCACTGCCGGCCCCTCGTGACTGCTCAGCCAATGCCATGGGTGGGGCAGAAACAACACATGTCATTTCCAGGTCCTGCCCCAGAGGTCCTGTGCTCCCAGTCTCCTTTCCCTCCTGCAGGTGGAGCGCAGGTGTGATGGCAGGATTCCAGGCAGCCACCTGGCAACACTGGCTGGAAAAGCTGCACGTGAGAATGGAAGAGCCCCTAGGGGGACAGGGGACCCCAACACCAGGGAGCCGCCTCAGACCCCTGCACCGCCCGGCAGTGTTCTTCATGTGAGAGAAAAAGAAACTTTACGTTTTCTTTTCCTGTTTTCTTAAAATCGCTGTTACACTGCATCTCTCTGATTCAGCAGAGAGCTCAGAGCATGACTGATACGGGGTCCGACCTCCAAGCCAAGAAGACGGCAGGAGAGGCCCGAGCTCTTCCCCGCAGAGAAGGAAGCACAGAGAGCAGCAGGGCTGCTGAGCACCCGACGGTCGCTCCCCAGCACGGGGCCTGGGCCTACCTGGGGAAGAAGATGCTCTCCACGACATAGAAGTCCTGCATGAGCACGTCGCGCTCCGGCTTGGAGCTCAGGTTGCCCACGGTGTAGCCGATGCCCAGCTGGATGGCTCCCTTCAGGGTGGACGAGGTGGTCTGCGGAAAAACCCCACTGCATCAAGACCCGCAGCCCCCAGGGCGACAGACCCCAGGGCAGGAGATCGGGGCCCCTGCCCAGTACGTGTCACAGACGCGCTGACCTCTGGGCTGTCCCTGAGCTCACACGACCACACAGCAAGGAGGTGGCCTGGTTGAGACTACAATACCACCTCATGCGGCCCCAAGGCCTGTTTCCCATCAAGGTTCTAGAAGGTTCCAACTTCTCAAAACTGTTCCAACTCAGCTGGGGTCTACTGTCAGGATTTTCTTGGGGGAGGGCCTGGGGGGGCACATAAATGTACACGATGACACCCAGACTTCATGTCTGCAACCCGGGTTCCTTATACCCACTCTCCTGGTGATTAGCATCGTTGCGCTGGGCCAGCAACACTGCTGCTCTGTGCCTCAGTTTCCCCACCCACAGCTGGGTGTGGAGATGGCGGTACAGGCCATCCGGGGCTGCTGGCATTAGTGGCCTAGGCGCCTGGGCTGAAGTCCGCCCGGACCTGGGAAGGAGGGGATGGGAGCGACAGGTCAAGGGGACGGGGTGTGAGTCTGGGCTCATGGAAATCTTCTGGAACTGACTGTGGCGACAGCTGGACACACTGAGAACACGCTAGAAACCATCAAACTTCGTGCTGCCCTCATGACCTCTCGGCCGGCTGCTCCGTTAGGAGTGCTCCCCGGGCCCCGCCTGGCCTGGCCTCTCACGAGCTTCCCATCAGCTCAGCCTCGCTTTCCGGGGGAAGGAAGAACTGCATTTCCCCCTTCCCCAGACAAGCCGGCAGGCCCAGAGGGGCCGGGGGCTCGGACACGGCTGCCGGCGATGCCTGTGATATCCGTGACAGGCAGCAAGGACCTCACCGGGACCAGGGGCCTGCGTGGAGGGGCCTGTCCTAAGAGCATCTGCCTCCAGCCGGACCCGGACATGGGCACGGAGCATCCCTGACCCTGTGTGGGGTCCCCAGGACAGCTGGGAGTCCCCCCCAACCAGCTGAGGGCAGAGGGGAACCTTCTTGTAGGTGGTTTCACCAGAGGCGTCCACACCCCGATGACCCAGCTTCTTCCCATGGCCAGGACCCGGCTGTCCAGTCATCAGTGGGGCCTGGAGAAGAGGAAGCAGGAAATCAGCAAAGGAGGCGCCACCAGGCCAGTGTGCCCTGGAAATCCTGACCAGACGGGCTGAGTCAGTGTCCTCACCAGGCATGTGGCGCAGAGGCTGCTGTGGGTGGGCTGTCACCAGCAGGGGCCACAGCGCCCAACCCTGTACATCCAGAAGGGCCCACACCCAGACCGACGACTTCCAGCTCCTCGAGAAAAGCAGGAAGATCGGCAACCCCAGCCCTTCCGCGTGCATGGGGGCAGCAGCCTGGCTTCAGGGGCTCCCGGCACTGCTGGCACTGGGCCGGGTCATTCCCGACGGCCCCACCCCTCAGGGCAGCCTTCCCCATCCCAACAACCGCAGATGTCCCCAGACATCACAGTGTCCCCTAGGGCGGAGTCGCCCAGCTGAGACCCCTGGGCTGGAATGACTGTGAACTGCGGGGAGAGGTCCCACTGGCCTGGGCCTTCTACACGGGGACAGCCATGGCAGGCATGACGAGGCTGTGTGTGAGCGACTCCCCAGAGGAGAGGGGTGGCAGGGGCCCAGGCTCAAGGCCCGGGCTGGCCAGCAGAGGGAGCTGGTGCCCCTCCAGTCCAGGGGCTGGACTGTCACAGACGTTGACATCCCCCATGGGGCCCATGCTGCCTGTCTGGCCTCCAGCTGACAGTGCTCAGACCCGCCAGACCCGCACAGCCCCGCTGCCCCACGCCAGGGTCTGGGCAGCCCCACTAATGCCCCCCCTTCACCCCTCAGCTCCGCCGCCTGTGTTCCACACACCAGCCACCAGGGGGTGGGCTCTCCTCAGCGATGGGAAGGTGCACGCCCTCACCGGCTCCCCACTGCCCTGTAGCTGCTCCCTCTAGGAAAGACCTCCCCACAAGGACCCCACGTGCCAGGTGGTATCTAGGGGACATGGAGGTCTAGGGCCCGGTGGCTGGGCGCAGGCCCCGGGATGCCACACCTGGGCGGCTCCAGGAACGCGGGACTCACAGACACGCTCCCACAGGCTCCTTTCAGCACCAGGGACAGTGCTGATCCCCCACCCACGCTACCCCCATGCGAGGGCAGCCCAGGGCACACACTTGTCCCGCTTCCTTCCTACCTCTCCAGCCCCGGTTCTCCTGTCCCTTTGTCCCTTGCTGTCTGGGCCAGGTCCCACCCGCTCCCCTCCCTGAAACTCAAGATGCTGACCGGACTGAGGGAGGAGCCCAGGGAGGCACAGTGAGCTGCCCAGAGCCACAGCACACTCACCTCCGTTGGGGCCATCTTCTTCTGGGCCAAGCCTGCGGGAGAGAAGGGAAAGGCTTCAGCCCGGAGAAGGGGCAGCCTGCCCTGCCTTCGCTGCACGCAGGTGCCCACGGCCTCGCTCAGCTCCCCGCGCCCCTACAGAGGGACGTGTGGACGCAAGGTGGGAAGTGGGCACCGACCCCGAAGACATCAGGTCCCCAGCGGCAAGCGACTGGCTGAATCGACACAGTGCTGTCTACACCCGTGGGTGGGAGCTCTGCACTCAGGCCGCGGGGATATCAGATAACCCATGGGGTCAGCTCCTGTCCATACAGTCCCTGGGGAGAGCTGCTCGCCATGGGAGAGGCTCACAGTGAGGGTGCGGGTACGTTTGTCTCTCCGGACCCTTCCCTCCCATCCTGGCTCCCCATGAGGCCACCCACTGACCTCTCTGAGCCTTAGTGTCCTCGCTGGGCATGCAGGCTTCTGCTGAGGACTATCTGTTCAAGGAGTGCGGATGGCCGCTCCCCACAGATAATGGGCTTTGCGCGGGGTGGGGGGCAAGTCAAGGCCCCAGAGGTGACCCTGGGTTCCCAGGGGGCCTGGTGTCCTCACAAGAGGGAGGCAGAGGGTGGGGGTCCCAGAGACGGGCAGATCCCGCGCAGCCGGTGGGGAGGATGTGGGGGGGGGGTGGGCCTGGAGGAGGCAGGAGCCGGGTCTCCCTGGGACCCCGGTGGGGGGGGACCAGCCCTGCCCGCGCCGGGGTTTCAGCCTGTGAGACCATTTGAGGCTCGCGACCTCCAGTGTGTGCTAGTCAGCATGTGTGATTCCAGACCGAGCTATGCTGATCTGTCACAGCTGGAAGACGCTTGTAACACTCGGGGCCTACCATGGGTCGGGCTGGCAGGAAGGCAACCAGGACAGACACCCTCAAGGGCTCCCAGTCGGAGTGGGGACGGGAGAAGGGCCTAGACGGTGGAGCAAGAGCCAGGAGGATGACTTGGGAGGAGGGGTCAGGTCGCCAAGGGAGGATTTGGGCCTTTCCCCCAGGAAGGCGGGAGCCCTGGAGGGCTGTGGGCAGAGGAGGGAAGGACCTGACTCAACGGCTCGCAGGCGCCCTCTGGTGGCCGCTGCGGGGAAGATGGACAGGGCGGGGTTGGGGGCGGAGGGTGAAGGCAGAAGCGGGGAACCAGGGTGGAGGGAAGGTTCTGGCAGTTCTGGTCCGGGTGGGAGACGATGGGCTGGGCCAGGCGGAGGCAGAAGAGAGAGGGGTGGGCAGATTCCGGCAGGTGGGAGGCTAGGGCGGACGGGCTCTGCTCACTGGAGGAAAAGTGAAGAAACCAGCGAGTCCAGAACCCCGCGGCTCGGAAGGGTGAACAGCGCAGGACGGCCTCAGTGGGACGAGCGTCCAGACGGGAGCAGGTGTGGGGACGTCAGGTGCCCGCGGCTGAGCTGCGTGAGACCTCCGGGACCGGCCCGACCCCCAAGTCCAGAGCTCAGGGCAGGGCCAGGCTGGACACAAGGCGGGGCGTCGTCCCGCCAGTAGAGGGTGGACGAGGCCGGCAGGGAGCAGAGCCGGAGGGGAGGGAGGAGGCCCGAGGACCCCACGTGGACACTGGGGGAGGCACCCCGGGGCAGGTCTCAGCCCAGCAGAGGAGGGACCCACTCCACTTCTAACACCAGGTCGGGCCAGAGGCTGGGGACAGGGGAGTGACTGCTGATGGGAACGGGGTTTCCTTTGGGGGATGAGAATGTTCTAGAATCAGTGTGGTCAGCTGCACCGCATTGTGAATACGCTAAAAACTAAACTGTAAGCTTAAAAGTATGAATTATGGTTTATGAGTGATACTTATGGAAAAAATGAACCCAAGAGGACCCTCAACCTGGGGTAAGCCTAGGGCAGGCAGGGTGGGGGACGGGTGTCCTCTTTCAGCCATAACCACCACTGCCCTGGGCCTCACCCAGATGCCGGCGATGGTCCAGAGGAACAGGCTGGGTGGGTGACTGGCCGATGCCAGGGTCACAGTCGCAGGGGCCACCAGGGGCCACCCTAGCCAGAGGTCGAAGCTGACCGAGCAAGGCTGGTCACTAGCCCAAGGCCCCAAGCGCCCATCCGCAGGCCAGTGTGGGTGTGGGACTTCCCAGCCTGGGCGCCCTGGACTCAGGAATGAACCTGGGCCCATCCTGAGGCTTGGCCAAAGACAAGCAGGCCGCGGAAGGTGCTAGAAAGCTGACTTGTTATTTGTTGGTTTTACATCTGGGGTATGGGGGGAGGAGGAAGAGAGAAGGAATGAGGCCAGAGGTAGAGCACGCAGAACATTTTGGACATGGCTTGGGGGCCCCTGCAGTCCCCTCCCCTTCCTGGCCAGCCTGGGGCCTCTGGGCCCTGGAGCCCACCCAACCGTGCCCACCTGTGACCTCTGCGGCCCCCAGCCCTTGACCCTGGGGCTCTCTGCCCGGACAGTCCAGGCCCCCCCCAAACGACTCCACTTGCCCCTGAGTTCTCCCAGCTTGTCGGGGCGCCTGGCGGCTCCCCTGCACGTCCAGGCCACGCCGACCCCAGCGTCTGGCATGAAGTCCTGCCCGGGTCGGCCTCACCTGGGGATGCCTCAGGGTCACCTGCTTCATACCCAGGGGCCCCACGATGGCCACACTCCTCCTGCCCGATCCACACTCTGGCAAAGGAGAGACGCGCCCTCCCACCTGGGGTGTCCAGGACCCACGCCAGCAGGGGCCATGGCAAGGCTACACGCCGGCCTAGGGTCGGGGTGGGGGTCTGTGTGCTCCACCACAGCCTGATGCCTGCAAGCACCCCCACTGCTCCCTCCAACACCCCCGAGCCCTCGAGGGTTTTGTGCACCTTCAGAGGGTGGTGGCTGCTCTGGGCATGTGGGCTGGGGAGGCCCCGTGGCCCAGCCCCGTGCTCCCACCAGCCAGGCCAGGCACGGCAGGCAACGTCTAGCTCCTCCCAGCCCGAGACAAGACCCATTCTCTTCCGAATGAGCCACCCCACTTTGAGGAAATTAAGTTTTAAAAATAGCCTGGGGAGGGAGAGAGTGCCAGGCTGGGCCAAGACCTGCCCCGGGACATGGCTTCCTAGCCACCGGGCGGAAGGCAGGGGGCGGCCAGGGCCCAGAGAGTTTGGGGTGAGGGGGTGACCCCCTGCTTCCCCCACTCCCTAACCCCTGAGCTAGCCCCTGCGGCCCACCGCTGTGTGACCTCAGCAAGTCCCTCCACCTCTCTGAGCAGCTTTCCTCTGGTCTCTTCTGTGCCCCCGTGGGTGAGCAAGGGTAGGGCTCCCAAGCTGGGCCCCCTCTCCCTAGCCCACCATCCCTCGCCACCGTCAGATCACTGCCCTACCCTGCAGACCCTGTCCTGTCCTTCTGGGCAAAAATGACACCAACCCCCAGGCAGGAGGCCTCCTCCCTCAGGGCTTGGCCTGCCCTGAGCAGGTACCTACTAATGTTTGTTGACTGACTGACTGACGGATGGACAGACAGACACCCTTTCTTCTCCCCTGGTCTCCAGTCCAGCCCTTGCCCCCAGGCCATCCTCCCTGCACTGGCCACAAGAGGGCACCCGTGAGCACCCAAGTCAGGTCCCTCCCTCGCTTGCCCACAACCCTCTAGGGCTCCCACCACCCTGGGGCAAAACACCCAAGTCCTCCCTGGGGTCCCCAAGCCCTGCGTGACCTGTCTCATCTCCTCCCCTGCCCTCCACTACTCCCTCTCCCCAACTCTGCTCCAGCCATACAGGCCTCCTCACTCTTCCTCCGACATGCCTGGGTCCTGCCCCAGGGCCTTTGCACAGTTTGCCCCTCCCCCAAACACCACTCCCAAGACACTTCTGGGTTTGCAAACTTGCTTCATCCAAGACCTGGCTCAAATGTTACCCCCCCCTTCGAGCTGTCCCCCAACCACTTCGCCCAAAACAGCTCCTCTGAGGTCACTCTCCTCACCTCCTTGGCCTTCTCTGTCTCCCAGACACACAGCAGCACCCAGTACCTCCGTGTTATGTACCTCCCACCAAAGGGAGACCTGGTCTGCTCAGTCACCCCCAACACACACCTTCAGAGCTCTCTGAGCGCAGAGTCTCTGCCGGACACAGGCAGCAGGTGGGCAGGCATGAAGTCTAGCGGCTCCATGCAGGGGCTGTGCCCCTCCTGCCCAGGAAGGGTGCCGGCTCTGCGTGACTCAGAGCCACCGAGAGAGCACAGGACAAGGCAGGCAGGGCCAGCAGCCCCGAGAAGCCAGGAAGTGGTGCTGAGGCCCAGCCACACACACATCCCTGATCAGTTGGAACCATCGGGCTGCCTGGGGCCTCCTGTGGCACAGGCCTCCAGAGCAGGGCCCCGCGGGGAGGGTGTGGGGAGGCTGGGAACCCTGGGAGGCAGTGCCAACCCTCAGCCCTGGGCAGCCTCGGCCCACCAAGATGCTCATGAGTCACGCTTGCAAATCCTCTCTCTGAACAGGAAGAAAGGCTCCCAGGGCCAGGTGAGGACGGCCGGTTCTCTGCAGCCATGAGAGACTCTGTGCCCCGGAAGGAACCGTGGGGTGCAGGGAAGGCTGGCGGCCTCCGATTCTGCCCTCTACAAGCCCGGAGCCCCCGGTGCCCAGAGACTGGAGACCCTGCGTGGAGAGGCAGGCCGCCCCCAGCTGAGGGCTGGGACCAGGGTGCGGGAGCCTACTGGGTCCCGGGCGGCCTGCTGACCATGGCTGCGTGACCGAGCCTGGGCGTGGTTGGTCCAGGGACATGATCCCAAGCAGACTCGCAGCCGTCTTCTCCGGCACTGAGCTCTGGGCAGTCTGGTGCGGCCACGGCTGACGGACGCAGGCATCCCACTGACACGCGGAGAGCGTTTCTAGAAGGGATATGAGGATCTACTGCCAAGGGCTTCTTTGGGGACGGAAAGAAGAAATAGAACTTGAACTCCTCCGTCCAACTCCGATACCTTACATTCAAAAAAGCATTAAATATATTCAAACGCTGGATTGTTCCGTCTTACAAATAATGAGGCACCCCCCCCACCCCTGTGCTGCCCCAGGACGGACCCCGA